CTCTGTCTCACACACATACACATGCAAATAGAGGAAAAATATGTATGTAAAACTGGGCATACATGGCTCATCCTTGTAATCGTAGCTACTTATGAGGCTAAGATCTGAGGATCATAATCAAAGCCAGCCTGGGCAGTGATGTCCGCAAGTTTACCAACAATTAAACTACCAAAAAGCCAGAACCTGAGTTGTGGTTCAAGTGGCAAAGTGTCAGCCTTGAGCAATAAAGCTAAGGATTAGCTTCCAGGTCTCGAGGCCAAGTCCCAGGAGTGGCAGAGTAAAAAGGAAGCAAAGAACCGGGCTCCGGCGGCTCACGCCTGTGATCCCAGCCGCTCAGGAGGCTGAGATCTGAGGATCCCGGTTCAAAGCCAGCCTGAGCAGAAAAGTCTGTGAGACTCTAATCTCAAATAAACCACCAGAAACCAGAAGTGGTGTTGTGGCTCAAGTGGTAGAGTGCTCGCCTTGAGCTGAAGCCCCATGACCAACCAAAAAAAAAAAGAAAGAAAGGAAGGGAGAGGGAGAGAGAGAAAGGGGGAGGGAGAGGTGGGAGGCAGAGGGAGAGAGGGGGGGAGGGAGAGGGAGAGAGGGAGGGGGAGGGAGAAGGAGAGAGGTGGGGGGAGGGAGAGGGAGAAAGAGGGGGGAGGGAGAGGGAGGGAGGGAGCGTAAAGATTGCATCCCTGGTGCTCAGGCTCTTGAGGGTTTTTTTTTGTTGTTGTTCATTGTCTTTTTTTTTTTTTTTTGGTTGGTCGTGGGGTCTGAACTCTGGGCCTGGGCACTGTTCCTCAGCTCTTCAGCTCAAGGCGAGCGCTCTACCACAGTGCCACTTCTGGTTTTCTGATTGATTGGAGATAAGCGTCTCACAGACTTTTCCTGCCTGGGCTGGCTTTGAACTGCGGTCCTCAGATCTCAGCCTCCTCAGTAGCTAGGATGACAGGCGTGAGCCACCGGCCCTTGGTGGCTCCTGAGGTTTTACTTGCAAGCTGTGGCTTCTCGCCCGCGGGTCCCCAGCGAGGACCCGGCATGGCTGGGCCACATGCTCAGCGTGTACTACCTGTGCAGCTGGGGCGGTGGGGTTTGTTTAGTCTTCAGTGCCACATGCTACTCCTGGAGTTTATGGGACCTCCGTGGGGGTGGCGGCTAACTGTATATGACCATCCGCTCACTGGACACGGGGGACTGGTGAGGCTCGCTCCCTTTCTTTCCTTCTTTCTTTCCTTCTTTTTTTCTTTCATCTTTCTCTTTTTTCATTCCTTCTCTGTCTCTCTTTTTGTTGGTCATGGGGCCTGAACTCTGGGCCTGAGTGCTGTCCCTCAGCTCTTCAGCTGAGCGAGTGCTCTACCACTTGAGCCACAGCGCCACTTCCAGCTTTTTCTGCTTATGTGGTGCTGAGGAATCGAACCCAGGGCCTCGTGCATGCGAGGCAAGCGCTCTACCCTCACCACTCCATCACAGTTCCTCCCAGGGGAGGGAAAGGAGGGATGAAACCCTCACCCTCCGCCTCGTGGCCTGGACCTACCACAGGACTGTGCCCACAGCAGGACTGCACCAGGGTCCCAAAAGCCATGGTGGGGTCCTGACCCTCAGACCCTGAGCAGGGCCTTCACAGAGGCTCACGTCTAGCTGAGGTCCTTGAGGTCCCTACTCTTAGTATGAGAGCATCCTTAGCGAGAGGAGAGGTCTGGGCTAGTGGCCGTGGCTGACGCCTGTCATCCCAGCCACTCAGGAGGCTGAGATCTCAGATCTCAGGACTGACGTTAGAAGCGGCAAAGTCTGTGAGATTCTGATCTCTGGCCAACCAGCAAAAAGCTGGCCAGCCTTGAGCAAAAAATGCTCAAAGTCAGTACCCAGGCCCTGAGTCCAAGCCCCAGGCCTGGCACCACAGAAGGGGGTTTGCACACGCTGGGGAAGGCAGCAGTCGGGGAAGGGCCGGACGGCGGCAGCAGGAGAGGCCGGCAGACTTCCCTGCACACTTCCCGGCCGTCTTGGCCTTGGCCGTGGGCCGGCCGGGCAATGGCACGGCCGCTGCTGTGCCTGCCGCCCATCTGCAGCCCTGGTTACAGAGAGCCCGGGAAACAAGGCCTGGCCAGGGCCTACATCCCCGCGGTGAGGCAGCTCCGCTGGGTCCTAAGCCCCCAGGTAGCGGTGAGCCCGAGGGGCCCGGTCCACGGTGCCGGGCAGCGGCGGGCCCAGTCCACAGTGCCGGGCAGCAGCGGGCCCACAGGGCCCGGTCCACGGTGCCAGGCAGTGGCGGGCCCACGGGGCCCGGTCCACAGTGCCGGGCAGCAGTGGGCCCACGGGGCCCAGTCCACAGTGCCAGACGGGGAGCCGGGGAGCCGAGCCCCCTTTGATGGAACACTGACCGAGACGTGAGGGTCACAAATCTGAGGCACACGCGGGGAGCTCAGAGGGGCTCACAGACCCCCCGATGGGCGGGGCCCGGATGGCGTAACCAGTGAAGCAGGAGCAGCTCGAGTTCAGCCCTCCTCCTCCCTGCTCTGCTCCCTTCCCCCTTCTCCTGCTCCCTGGCCGCCTTTCTGGAAGCGGCCTCTGCGTCACCGCACCCCCCCCCATGGAAACCCCCAGAACCACAAGTCACCCTCCATCTCTCCTCCCGTGCAGATGATGGCTCATCTACCAACCGGCTCCTCACCAGAGTGGGCAAAACCAAGCAGGCTGTGAGCTCTAAGGAACCAAAGGGAAAGGAACTTTCTGGCGGGCAGGACAGCGCTGGGGGCTCCCGCGCACCGCAGGAAAAGCTGCAGCACAAGCAGTGGCTGAGGTGGTCGCAAAGCCGCTGGAGAGCCAGGGGGGTGGGGGGAACAGCGTGCTGTGTGTGCGTGCATGCCCGCACAGCACGTGCAAAGGCCCCACATGAGGCACAGGTGCCTTGGAGAGGAGCCAGGGTAGAGCAGAGGCAGCAGGCAGCGAGGGGAATGGGAAGAGGGAGGCCTGAGCTGTGGCGGGACTGGCAGGAAGCAGGGTGGTGGGCAGAGGTCCCCAGGGCCGAGACCGGGTGACAGGGGAGTGGGTGGGGAACATGGCCGCTCCCGCCTGCCTTCTGACCTCGAACAGCATGTGCAGGACAAAGGCGAGGGGTCAAAGGTGACTCCCAAGATGGGGGGCCAGCAGTTCCTGAAGTGTGAGGGGGCCAGCCTGGGGGAGTCCAGGCTGGGAACAAGCTGTCCCCTCCTGCAGGACCAGCCGGCCCTCGGTGGCCACCAGCACAGGGACAGAAGTCTGGAGCGAAGGCTGACAGGAAGACCGGGCATTTGGCCGCTAGGCTGGAGGGGAGAGCTTGGCAGAGACGGGGTACCAGGCCAGAGCCGCTGGCACGAGCCCTGCCCCGGCCATGGCGACTGCGGGGCCGAGGTGCCTGCGGCTGCCATCCCGGGCACAGGGCACCTGACCGCCCTCCGGCTGCGGCAGGGCGCCTGGGGCACCTGAGGAAAACGGAGCCAGCGGCAGGTGCCACGCAGGGCCACTCGGCAGCGGAGGGCACCACACCAGGCCCTGGGGCGATCTCCTGGGGAGGGCCCCACACATTCAAGCCTTCCTCCCAGAGCCCCCCCGAACGGAAGGACACAGGCCACAGGGGTTTGACATGGTCAATCAAGTTTAATGCATCGTACAGCAGAAACTACATGGCATATTTAAGACAAACACTATCCTCACTACCCACCGGACGTTCCTCCATGTCCCCAAAACTAACCGTCTCAAGACTCGGCAGCCGCCCTCCTGGTCCAACCCTTCACATCCTCCCGCGACGTCTTGACAAAACTGAACTCAAATCCATCCCAGAAGCAACGCAAATCAAGAGGAACCCAGAGCCACGCCCCGGGCGCCATGCGGGAACGTGGGATCAGCATAGTCACCAATATAAGAGACGCGTGTCTCGCACCATTCATTTTTGTTCAATAAAAGA